GGTATTTCAGTCAATCTTCTTCTCTTCCTTTTATTTATTATCTTTGATACATCTTGTTATAATAAAAGCAATCATGTAGACATTTTAGGATTAATCGTGTAATTTAAATTTATAGCATGTAAATAAATATTAATAAAGGGGATCTAATATTTAATTTATTATTTCTTATCATGTTTACTGCATCATAGGGTACCGATTGAGGGCGCTGTAGAGGTGCTTAATACCTTCCCTACAGTGCTTAATACCTTCCCTACACGTAACCGACCCCGAACCCAATTCTGGTTATCTAGGCCATTATTGGATCTTTAAAAACCTTTTCTTTTTCTAATGTTTTGAGTAAAATATTGGTGGTAACTCCATGAACTCATTTTTCAAAACCATTAATTAAGGATTAGTCTGGTGTCTGAGTATTCCCTAATTATGAGATCTTTAAAAGGATGTCTAAACCATAGGTCGCAAGATTGGAAATTTTCGGGTTGCGATAGTGCAAGCTAAGCTAACCTAGGTTAGGTTAGCTTGAACTCAAGCTACTTAACCTTAACCTAACTAGGTGGACAACTCGCCCAAGTTGGTCCCTTCAAGTTCCAACATCATTCAAACTCTCCATGCAAAAAAGGTCACGTGGATAACCCATGATGGCAAGGAGACAAGGTGGAGACATTTGATCTAGAAGAGCCACTTGGAGAGTGCCATGTGGCACAAGTGTCTAAAGTGTGACTAGGCTAGGTTCATGTGATGTGGCTTGCTTTCTAGCACACCTTGGGTGATTTTTACAAGGGAGGATAAGGTGTTTTGGATGGCCAAAGATAGCCCTAAACCAAACTAAACCATCTTTCCAAATAAATATGGGCCAACGAAGCCCAACAAGACACACAATGAACTTTTACTAGTCACATCTCTCCTAAAATATTAATTACACCCTCAAATGAAAATAATACAAGGACTAAACTTTCTATTCTATTTGGCCAAAATACAAAGCTTAAGAAAAACAAAGAAAAGGTCATAAAGAACTATGTTGTGAAAATAGGGACATGTCCTACAAACTAAGGGCATCCTATATTATTTAGACCAAAATACAAGTCTAAAATAACCAATACATATATCTAAATGATATAAGCAATCCTATACTAAGATATATACAAATAAAAAGATTAAGTACTAGGAGAGGAAGGATACTCAATACTCATAAAGAGCATAGGCCTGTGAAATGTATCCTCTCTTATGGCCTCCTCAATCCTCCTAGCCATGGACCTAATCAAAGGTCTAATGGTTTTTATAGATGGTCCTCCATCATCTTCAAACTACAACAATGTCTCCTACTTATGTCTAAAGTATTTATCCTCTACAAGGACTTTAGGAAAGTTGTAAACTAATGATATTTTACGATTGTTGTAGTTGCAAACTTGTTAAGTTTTTTGCCTTACCTTTTATTTAAGTGTTTTAATTTCTATCGTACCTTTAACTTGGTTCATTTTGATTAGATTAATCAAATTGGCTTAGTCCACCCTCCTAAACTATGACCAAATCCATGTGAGTTAGGACCAAAAAAGCTAACAAGACCAAAAACCCACTTTATTATTATTATTATTATTATTATTATTATTATTTTTTATTTACTTATTATTTTTTT